CCTCCCAGCCAGGAATTCCTTCCCAATATCCCATCTAACTCTCCTTGAGCTTAAGCCCATCCCCCTTGTCCCATCACTTCCAACCTCAAACACGACACTGGACAGGGCAATTTATAATTTTTCCACAACCTGGGAGGCAAGACTGGACTTGCTGGAGCAGGAGGGCAGAGGCAGCACCCCCTGCTCCTGCCAGGATGAGTCTCTTGGGAGACCAAACAGGAACATCTGCCACGGACAAGGCTCAGACCTCCAGACCCGGAGCCTTGACTGCAGGAGTCACTTTATCACGAGGCTTTTTAGAGGTGCCACTGAACACATCCCACACCCAGAGCTCCTGGAATGCCCTCCACCAGCTCCTAAGGGATTTCCTGAGCCACTGTGAACGAGCAGCGGTTTTATTGGAAGAGGGGTGAAATTTAAGCAGGCAGCAATTAAGGTTTGAGTTGTAATTAGTCGCTCTAATTTGCCTGGGACGTTCTTCCACACGCACAATTCCAACAAGGATCCAACCTTAAGTCTTTATGGCAGAGCTGGGAGCACAAAACCCCAGAGGTAAAAACCTCTTATTCCACCAGATTCTCACCAGAGGGGCCACCAGAACAGGCAGCTCCGTTGGGAAGCTCCAAGAAAAACTGTCACTCAAGGTTCAGGAAGCCCCAGGCTACAACTCCCAAGTGGTGTTTAAAGTCAGAGAGGTGCAGGAGAACCCTGAGGATGCTCCTTAAAACATGAGGAGCACCAAGAACACCCCGAGATGTGGGGTTTGCCTCTATTTAGGGACAGGAGCCCCAGGAGGACAGGAAGAAGGTGCAGCTACTCACTGGATGCCAGAGCTTCTGCCTCGGTGGAGGGGACTTTGTAGATCTTCCCCCCCTTGTAGACGAAGCTGCCCTCGATCACCTTGAAGTCCAAGTAACGAGTCACTTCTGTGTAGAGCAGCATCTTCACCAACTGACCTGCAGGAGGGTTTGGCACAGGTCAGACAGCTGGGCTGGAGCCAGAGCTGCTCCCAGGGCAGCCCTTCCAAACCCTTCCACGTTCAACTCCCGCCGCACACCAGAGGTGAGCCGGGACTAGAGCGACCAGGCCTTGCCTGGGATCTCTCTAACCCTGAGCCTGAGTCTGGCACCACACAAGACATCCATGCCCTGGTGCCTCAGGGATGAGATTCCAGCAAAAAGGGGTTGGGTTTTGGCAAAGGGACATCTGGGAGCCCAGGATCACTCACCGTTAGCCATCAGGAATTTCGGAATGAGGTCCACGTTCCAGTCTCTTCCCCGCCCCATGGATTCTGGTGGAGTCCCCGGGAGATTAAACCTTTTGTAGAGCTTTGGGGAGAGAGAGAGAGAGAACACAGAACTTATTGTAGCTCCCTGGGTGTCACTTCTCCCACACATGGACACACTTTCCACCCCCATGGCTCTCAGCTGAACACAAGCCCTTCAGAGCCGGTTTTTGGCCCGAGTTTCATCTCCAGTTTGACTCCTGATGCAGCACACAAACACATCCAGGAAGCTGGGACAGTGAGAACCAGGCAGAGTTATTCTGCTCTTCCAGTCTTTCCTCCTCCAAGGCTTAAAGTTTGGGAATTTAAAACCTGAGGAAGCGAAATACTGTGTAATGTGAGGTATCTCAGTCAATATTTACAGTTTAGTTGGGGTTTTAACACCCTGCTGTTGGGCATTACAGGTCTGGAGTGCTCCACGCTGGAATTCCAGCTGGGAATTACAGAAAACAAGCGCTGTCTACAACCACAAACACACACACTGGTGTCTCCCCTGTATTAACACCATAAAACATCCTCGCTCCAAGGAAACCCTGAAGAGTTAATTACGTGGGAATCCACCCCTGGGATAACTGGGAATAAAGCCCCTTTTCCAGCAGCAGGTGCCAGCTCCACACTTACATCTTCCAGGGGTGTAATGGATGCACTTTCCCCTCCATAGTAGGAGTTACGATCCATGTGAAGGACCTTCTTCCCGTTCACGGACATGATCCCGGAGAGGATGCATTCCTGCAGAAAGGAAGGGATGCAAGGGATGTGTTAGTGCACTGGAGCCTCCTCCTTCCCAGTTTTCCTAAGGAAGAGCACGTTCAGGCAGCTGGCTGCGTGCAGGGAAACAAACACTCTGGAATTCAGACACCCCTTGGAAGCAGATCAGCCCCTCGCCAGGTCTGTGTGCCCCGGGCAAGCCAACCAAGGGGTTAAAACTACACAGCCACCACCTCCACTGAGGACATTCCTGGGAATTTCATGCATTTAGGGCAGATTTGGAAAACCTCTCCTCCTAAGCCACCACCTGCCAACTTAAGGACGAGGCAGCAGGAGCATGGAATCTTACTTGGACTTCTCCTCAAAACCTCAACCATTAATATTTGCCACGCTGGGACACACAGGAGAACCAACAGCTTCTCTTTATCTATTTATAAAGAATAAATGAAGGCATTTGGCAGGTTTATCACCTCAGCAGAGGCCTTGCTGTCCTTGCTCTGCATCCAGAGATTCCTTGGAGCAGCTGATCAGCTGCTGGGTCTGAGACTCAGCACAGAGCACACACACACACAAGCTGCGACCTGCAGAACCAGCTGAGGCCTGGCTAAATCCCCACCAAACACAGCTCTGGCATTCACAGCCAAAGAGCTTAAGGAAAACTTGAATGTCTGCGTGCCTAGGACAGCTTAGCAGGGAGGTTTTACTGATCTTGCTCTGCCTCAGCTCCCCCCAAGAGCAGAACCATGTGTGCAGCTGAGCTCTTGCTCACCATCAGCAAGGCCTAACTGGGAGGTCTCGGCCACATCTCACGTCATGGGTGGGTCAACCTGGGCTACCGGAATGTTCCCTGCCTGGAAGGGGTGGGACTGGATGGGCTTCAAGGTCCCTTCCAACCCCAACCATTCCATGATTCTGCATTCACCATTCAGCCTGTAAAACCCCCCATCCATCTGCTGGGGGATGCCACCACTCCCAGGAGTGGGGAAGATGTTCTCTCACAGCTTGGCCCTCCTGGCAGAGATCCGTGTCTCCCTGAGATCCTTCACTCCACGAGCACCTTTCCCAGGACTCTCCTCCTGTGTCTTTCCCCCCCCAACTGGGTTTCAGGAGCTTTATTTCCACCACAGCAACCCTGGCCAAGGCAGGTGTTGCTCAGTCACACGAGGCAAACCACAAACACCAGAAGTCTCCTGCTGCGTCTTGTTTACCCGCTGCGTAAATCCCGACTCCAGGCAACCCTCGGTGTACAGGAAGCTGTAAAATCATCTACAACTTCCCCAACCCCTCCCAAGGTAGCTTTGAGGGGGGGTTATTTGGTTCTGAAGGTGTGGGGGTGGTTGGCAGGGATTGCTGGCACGAGGGGTTTGCTGTCCAGGCACTTCCAGGTGGCCACGGGCAAACCTTCTCTTGCTGGGACAGCAAGGCACTGCTGGCCAGTCTGTCACCCACCAGGGTGCCACCCTCATCCAGCCAAGGAGCTGAGGACAAAGCTGGAGCTGCCCAGTGCACGGCAAGGACGCTCCACAGTGAATCCCTGGATGGCAAACACGGTGCCCACACGGCTCTGTGATCACCAGCTGGGTCGAGAAGAGCTGGCCACAAAACCTCCTCCCGGCACCTTCCACACAAGTCCTACAAGGCTCCTCCTGTTTTCCCACGCAGGCTGGAGCAAGCAGAGAGCCCCAGACCCTCTGCTAAGACACTCCTCAAGGCCTCCAAGGGCGAGGAACCGCCGGAGCGAGGGTGGCTGCGGGGTGTCAGCTCTGCTGTCACTGGTTAGCCACCTCTGCCAGCTCCTCCCAGCCCTGGCCTCGGGCTCCCTGCTCCACCCTGGAACGTCCCACCAGCTCTGCCAGATGGTGGCACAGGGCTCCGAGAGTGTCCACGCTGGAAGCCAACCAGGATTTCACACCAAATGAGTCTCAAAGGCAGGAATTAAACCACAGCAGAAGTTCCAGTGGCTGCTCTTGCTGTCAGCTGATTTCCTGCCTCCATTTAACTTCAAAGCAGCCCTCGCTCCATCTTCCCAGGGATGCACACAGCCAGCCTGTATCCCTTCCCCAGGTTGGATTTAGGTACCAGCAGGAGATATAAGAGCCCTTAAGTACCTCCTCCATCTTCTTTCCTACCCATTAAACACCCCTACAGGCACTGAGGTGGAGATATCCCGCTCCTATTTCATCCAAGGCTCGTTAAACACGTCCCTTCCATCACCCAGCACCCGGCCCCGGAGCGCTGGAATCCCACCCGGGCCTCTCACGAGCCATAAAACACACGGGGTGCACAATGGATTCATCCTCCCAGCTCAGCAGTTCCTCTGGAGCTCTCCCCGGCCGCTGGAACCGCTGGATCTGTGTCCTGGTGTGGTTTGGGTGAGGAAAACAAACGGCCTGGGCTGACGTGGGAAGGGCTGGGAAGGGTTTCAAGTAAAAAAGGGGAAGCGTCAGAGTTCAAATCTGGAGGGTTTTGGCTGAGTATAAATATCAAGCAAACAGGAAGGCAGAGCAGCTGCTGGGAGTAGCACCAGGGCAGGGCAGGGAGAGCCCCGGGTATCCAGAGGGATGGATGGAATATGGTCTCCATGCAAAGGGACTGTAATCCAGAGCTCCACCAGGTCAGGTTCCGACAGCTCCCGGGAGCTCGCTGTGTCCCAGCCAATGGCAGAGCGAGTCCTGGCGTCTGCAGCACCACCCTGGCTGCTGAGATGGCTGGAGAGCACAGCACCAGGGAGAAAGGGGCACCGGGAATGTGGAGAGGGCACAAATCCA